CCATTGCACTGTGATGACCACAGTACATTTTAATGGTGGGACTGTACATCAATGAACCATTGCAATCAAATAAGGGAACAGGTATGTCATTATCTGAAAACAAACAAAAATCCAAACTTAAGCTCAAAACAAGGCATTCCCACTTCAACAGCGCGATTCCTGGGGCGGCACATCCCCACCCCCATCGGTTCCTCTTCCCGTTCACGTCATGTCCTACGGCCACCACTATCCGGGCACCACTGCCACCCCTAGGACTGGCATCCCCACCACGACAACTGCTGGCCGACACGTGCTAAGCAGCGGCCACGTGCCGGGCACTGTGGGAAGCACAGGACATGCATCATCTCAGTCAACCTTTCCCCGGACCCGTCCATCAGCCACCAGTGTCCCCATTACAGACGACGAAAACGAGCCACACAAGTTAAGGAACCTACTCAGCTAGGATCACGTAACTAGTGAGACGGTGAAGCCAGGATGAAGTCTGGCTCCTAAGTGGGATGATGGGTGGCAGGCAGGACATGCCCCCTCAGAACTCGCCACTGTGGCATAAGGATCAGCTTGAGCTAATGGCGACTAAACAAGCAGCAGGTGCAAGGGCGCTCTGCCCCTTCCTCCCGCAGGCAGGACACGAAGCTCCCACGTGGCGAGGCCCTCCTCCTGCCAGGAGGGGGAAGGCCGAGAGCATCCTTGTTAGCACAATGCTCACCTCCCCTTGCTCACCCGACGCTTCAGCTGCTTTCCCGCAACCACCTCTTGGTTCAACCTAGCACCTAAGTACGTAGTTTTGCCACTTCCCTGGGTCTTCACTTCCTTTGGAGGGCTCCAGTGTCACAAAAAACGTGTAAATTTGTGCTTTTCTCTTGCTGACTTTTGTTACAGAGCCCCAGCTGAGACCCTAAGATGGGTAAAGAGAAAGCTGTGCCCCTCCTACAGTGGCATAACCCTCGGTTTCATAACAGCCACCACTCAGCACCGGACCCGCCCGCAGCCAACAACTTACAGGCCCACGTGGACCGTGGGCTCAGAGGGGTCCTTGCGCCATGAAATGACGGGCTAAATTGTATGTGGGTGCACAACTGTGTGTTTTTCTGGAATCCATTACTTGCATGTGCTCAGAGAACTTTGGGGCTCTGACCACCTTCCTGCTCAATAAAAGACGACCAAGAATCATCCAGCACCCTCCCCTCTGCAACTCTTGCTGTACTTCTCTCAATACGCAGACATACATTAGTTGCATCTTTAGTACCTTATAGTTTTTAATATGCGGTTTCTGTTATAAATTTAATGTAAAAAGAGGTAATTTGTATCTATCATTACCGTTTTGCCAAATTCTTTTCAAACACGGCATTGCTGACACAGGGAAGGAGACCACGTGGCCACAGCACAAAGGGTGACAGAGGCTGGGGGCAGCCGGCTCAGCCGGGACGTGGGGAACACTACCGGGTCTCATCCTAAGTGCGTTTCCCCGAGGGTGACACTGCGGAATAGCGAGGCCTGGGTGGGTGTCCACCTGCCGTCTGATCTACGTCCTCTGACTGCAGTACAGGATGGAGCCTCAGTCAGAGCCCAGGGGGCCCAGCCAAGGAGCTGCCACAAGGTCCCAGTGGGGATGGCGCAGACTTGGAGACAGCACCGAGGAGCCAGGCAGTCACTTCAGAAGCAGGGCTAAGGGTCCTGATGGGCAACGTGTCAGGGAAGAAAGGGATGCCCAGGAGAACTCCATGTTTCTGGCTGGAGCAGCATGGCCGACCAAACACTAGTGTGGGCTGGTTAGGGAGCAGGCAGCACGGTGCCGAGAGAGACAGACTTGATTCTCAGACATGGGATGACCAAGCACAAAAACAAATGAAAGGCAACATTTTCGGGAAATTATCTGATAGCACCGTGCATACGAAATGTTCTAGTCCAGGGTCGGCAAACTGTGGCTTGCGAGCCACACGCGGCTCTTTGGGTACGTTCCGGCTCAAAAGTTTGCCGACTCCAGAAGAGCCAGTCCTGTCCCTCACAACAGTTTAAAAATTATTCGAGAGCCATAAATATATTTTACATAATCGCCATTATGTGAATAATATCCTTTAAAATTTTATAAATGAAACTATGATAGTTTTATTTTCATTTTCAACTTTACTTCAGAGCCACGTATATGTACTCAGAGCCGCATGTGGCTCGCGCCCTGCAGTTTGCCGACCCCTGGTGGCTCTTCTGTCTCAAAAGTTTGCCGACTCCTGTTCTAGTCAATGCTGTCACATTACCGTGGCAGATTTAAAATAATGCTTAATAATTCTATACAAAAAATTTCAAAATACAGAGCTGAGAATTTGCAACATGGCAATATAGACTAAAACAAAGAAAAAAAAGCCAGAGACATTCGTGTTTCCTATTTCTATGCTATGCATTATATAGTTATAGAAATTGCTTAGTTGTATCAATGATGTGTCAGGATTGGTCTGAAACACTGAATTTAGAGGACAGGTGACAAAGAGAAAAGGGAAATACCAAAAACTCATCAAGTACAAGAGTTTCATGACATTCTAAAGTATTTTTTCTAAATCATTATAAGAATATATATTGTAAAAACTCAAACAATCCAATTACAAAATGGGCAGAGGATCTAAAGAGACATTTCTCTGAAGAGGACATACAGATGGCCAACAGGTGCTCAACATCACTAGTCATCAGGGAGATTTAAATCAAAACCGCAATGAGCTATCATCTCACACCTGTGAGAATGGCCATCATCAAAAGGCAACAAAGAGTCGTGTTGGCAAGGATGTGGGGAAAAGGGAACCCTCTCCACATGTTGGTGGGAATGTAAATAGTGCAGCCACCATGGAAAACAGTATGGAGGTTCCTCAGAAAATTAAAATTATCAATAGAACTACCTATGACCCAGTAATCCCACTTCTGGGTATATAAATGAAGAAAATGAAAACACTAATTCAAAAAGATCTATGCACCCCCATGTTCACTGCAGCATTATTTACAATTGCCAAGATATGGAAATAATCTAAATGTCCATCGATATAGAACTGAATAAAGATGACATGGTACACATATACAATAAAACGTTAATCAACCATAAAAAAGTGAAATCTTGCCATGTAAGACAACATGGATGGGCCTTTACGGGATTATACTAAGTAAAATAAATCAGACAAAGACAGCTACTGTATGAAATCACTTATGTGTGGAATATTAAAACACAAAACATTGAAAAACACCAAAAGGAAACAAACCCCCCAACTCATAGATACAGATGACAGATTGGTGGTCGCAGACGTCGGGTGCGGGGAGGACGGGCCTCAAGTGGGTGAAGGAGATGAAAAGGTACAAACTTTCATTTATAAAATAATAAGTCATGAGGGTGGGATGTACAGCATGGTGACTATGGGTAATAGTACTGTACTGAATATGTGACGCTTGCTGAGAGTACCTCTTAAAAGTCCCCATTACAAGAAAAAAAAATTTTGCAACTGTTTATGGTAATTACAAATCACCATATCTCTTCATTATGTTGTACACCTAAAACCAATATAATTTTATGTCAATCATACCTCAATAAACAAAGAAAAGACTTTACGAGCGATTAGCTCAACTGTATGGCCCCACAATGGCTACCGCCAAGTCTCCTGTAGGCCACTTATGCTGTTTCCTTCCTCCTAGGCCAGAGCCACTGCAGTCCTCCTAGCTATGTCATCCTGGGTGCCATGGACACTACCGGTCATCAGGCAAATTAAACAAGGCGTGTGGACACCAACACAGAGGCTCATGCTGCATTTCTTTGCTTACCTACTGTCGTTTTTTGCATTTGTAGCTCTTTAGCCATTTTCTCAAATTTCTTTTGAAGTCTCTTACTATTTTCTGGTGTTTTAGGAACAAAATCT